TCAGTCTGAATTCTGAAGGCCCACAAGATCTTGACTTTCTCATTCTCTAAAACCTTCTGAACCTGATGTTCCCAGTGGTTTTTGCTATACTCAAATCCAAACGTTTGGCACAATTTCCAGTGAATGATCTTAGCAACGCGGTCATGGCATTGTAAGTGGTCAGTTTGTGAAATTTTGCTGCACCCATTGATCAAGTGGTCGACTGTCTCGTCTTTCTCATTACAGAGACGACATTTACCAGAGGCCCTCTGGAGGCCAGAAACAGCCCATTTTCCAACTTCCCATGGGCCGGGTAGGTCTGTTTGTCACCCTCCCCAGGCTCCAGAGGCTTTCTAAGAATCTGGGGAGGGCAAAAAGCAGGCCCAATGGGTCAAACGGAAGTTCATTTCTGAAGTTCCTGACTCTCCGTTCCAGGGATAACATGATTATGTGGTTCTTTTTCAAATTTGATATTTGTCTGAAATGAGCAGGTTATTTGCTAAATGGGAATTCGGTGTCCTCTATAATGGGCTGCCTAGCAACTGCAAGTTAGGCTTGTACTGCCACATCAGAAGTAGAGGAGATCTTAAAAATGACTGTTTTTCCTGGCATTCCTGGCCAGTGAAAATATGATTTTGTGATTCTTTTTCAAATTTGAGAGTTTTCCTGATTCTCCTGGCCAGGTGATTCTTTTCCAAAGTTGATGTTTGCCTGAAAATGGTTAAATGGTAAATCAGCATAGTTATAAAAGGTCTTCTAACAATGGGAAAGTATGTCTTGGATTGTCATCTGAGACAAGGTGAGGATCCTGGAAACCATTCCTTTTTCCTGGTTCTCCTAACCAGGAGGAATATGATTGCATCTCTTTTCTTCAAATTTGATGTAAAAATAACACATTAGCACTGAAAAAAATATGATATATCCCACCAAGAGTTCAGATAGAAGTTAATATCAGGGTTCCAAGTAACACTCCTAATGAAGGAAGACTCCGAGGCTTCGGTTTCCTCAAAGTTCCATTTTATTAGAGATGTCATATTGGTACATCTGGGAAAAACTGAATCTGAAAGTTCCCAGGCTTTCCCCACCCAAAGAAAAGTTCAAATCCCTGCCCAGCACACACATGTCCATCACATGATCCAACCAGGCACCATCCAACTCTGGAGATGCCTCCCAGTTACACCATCGCAGCTGCAGGGCAATATGTCCTTGACTCTCTGAGAAAGGAATGTTATTTTGACTATATATCTCCCACACTCCACGTAATCCCCCTCCCAGTTTTCCACAGCATTAAATGTGGCAGCAGGCCTGAAGGCCCAATGTAAAAAATGGGTTCTAGGCCTGACAGAGTCATAGCATGTGAATCTTGTGTGAATGTAGATGTGTTAATCCTCTAAATGCTGAGGAAGTGGAGATTTGGTTATTATATGAATGTGAGAGGGGGGGAATCCTGTTAAGGTGCATTTTAATTGGAGACCAAGACACACTTTGAAACAAAAATGATTTATTGACAGATAAAGTACTGGAAGGCACTGGTTTGTAGAGGACTAGGGTTTAGTGTTTGCATTAATGAAATGCATATTAAAACACAAATTAAATGAGATCACTCGTCTACATAATAAAGCCTTTACTTAACAAAGGGTTTTAAAATCTGCCCTAAATTGTTAATTTTACTAACCATTCTCTGAAAACCTTTGGTTCCCACACTAAAATGCTGGCAGTTCTCAGTTGCTGGATACCCTCATTACAGCTGGCTTTCATCTCTTTGCAGTTTATCACTTCCACTTGGGTGGTGGATCCCAAGGGCTTTACTTTAGCTGAGTCTATAGTATAGTCAGATAAATCATTTCACTAGATCTCCAAGACCATACATAAGGTTGAGATACAAATGAAATTCCTAGAAAAACTCCTACAATGGAAAACTATAAGGAATTCCACAAGTGGAGAGTATATATATATAACAGGTATGCAGGTTTTAGTATATTCGGGTCTTTTCCCATGTAAGATTGAGAGTATCTTGGCGACGTTTCAACGAGATCTCACTCGTCATCCTCAGGCTGGTGTCTTCAGCCTCGTGCCTGTGCGAGCAAAGCATGATCAAAGCTGCCTTCCCTCTATATATACTGGTGGGGGGGTGTAGAGTGCTGGCTCTGTTGCTGCAAGCAGATTGGTTGGTTGTGTTGTGACATCTTGATTAGTTGATGCTGTTGATGTTTGCAGATTAGTCAGCTGTTTCATAACATCCTGTGTGGCTGAGGTACTGGCTGTGTACCTATTGTTCTTTTGTGTTGTAACGACCTGGGTAATGGGCTG